GCCGCACTTGGGCCGAGGGCAATGTCCGCATGGGCGACTACATCCTAATAGTCGACTCAGATACCCGCGTGCCAGCGGACTGCTTGTTAGATGCTGTTAGCGAAATGGAGCGGTCTCCTCAGGTAGCAATACTTCAATTCACATCTGGAGTTATGCAAGTATCGCCATCTTTTTTCGAGGGAGGGTAAGTTTGTCACCCCTATATATATATGCACACGCATTGACACTGCCATAGGGTCAAATGGTTCACGAACCTTATCTATTCCGCTATCACTTTTGTGGTAGCGAATGGTGATGCTTGCCCCTTTGTGGGCCACAACGCCATGCTTCGATGGTCTGCCATCCAGGACGCCACCGCGTACCAAGACGAAGATGGCTACGAAAAGTACTGGTCCGAGACTCATGTGTCGGAAGACTTTGAAATGTCTCTTAAGCTCCAGTGCGCCGGGTATGAGCTTAGGTTCGCGTCTTATACCGGAGATGGCTTTCAGGAGGGTGTTTCCCTAACAGTATACGACGAATTAGCGCGATGGGAGAAATACGCATACGGTTGCAATGAATTGCTATTTCACCCCTTAAAGCATTGGTTCAGGCTAGGCCCCATCACGCCTCTATTTCGAAAATTTATATTCTCCGGTATACACTTGCCTAAGAAGATGACGATTTGCGCCTATATCGGCACGTACTATGCCATCGGAGCCTGTTGGATATTAACCCTCATGAACTATCTCCTGTCAGGATGGTTCTTTGGATTTTACGACAAGTTCTATATAGACTCTTTTGCCATCTACATCTCGGTCATTGTAGTCTTTACGGGGCTTGGAAACTTCTCACTGGCTATCTTGAGGTATCGCCTAAACGAGATGTCGCTCCTGGGGGCCTGTGAGTTTTATACTACACGCATGATTATCTAAAGATGAGAGGCTAATTTTTAACATGTCTAGTCTGGAACAACATCAAATGGATCCCGCTGATGACTGTCTTCTTGGGTGGCTTATCTCTACACGTCTCGCAGGCGCTGCTATGCCATTTCTTTAGTATCGACATGGTCTGGGGTGCAACAGCCAAAGAAGTCGAAGAGGTCAATTTTCTCGAAGAGATACCACGATTGCTCCGGCGTTTCAAGGGCACCTTCGCCTGGTGCATCCTCATGACTGCACTTATCATATGCGGTTATTTCGTATTCCCTGGTCAGTGGAAAATCGTGCACTTAGCGTCTATCTGGCCGCTCGCTTGGACCGTCGGCTGCCATTTTTTGCTGCCCGTCGTGCTGAACCCGGCACTCATGGTATTTTCATGGTAATTTCATGGTAAATTGTATATGGAGGTTTAATGGTATATATATACAAGGTAAAGGTAGGTAGGTATAGGTAGATCCTAGCTTACTGGATAGAGCGGAGGGAAATGGATATCATCGGTACTTGTTTGAGAAGCGTTGAGGAGCATTGAGATGGACGACCTGATTTACATTCCCTTCTTGGTGGTAAAACCTCCCCTGGATTCTATCGTCACGCGCCTCCGCGCAAACAAGGGCGGCGCCCATAATTATTAATAATAATATTATTGGGGAGCTGAGACCGGCTTGGCATTGAAAATAGAAACATGGAACTTATTAGTACTGTCGCAACGACTAGGTATGATACTTTTCTCTAGGATCTATCATCGCCGTCCGACTACTGTTTTTATTAAAATAGCGTAAAAAAAAGAGATACCCAATACTGGCTACCGCAACATGGGTCATGTTTTTAACGGCATCCCGCCTATCCAGCATATAAATAACACATGACGAATAACGAAAATCGAGGATTGGAATAAGGGGGGAATTATGTCGGTGTAAGTGTGAGCTCCTATAAGAAAAGGGGGGGAACGTAACGGAAGATCCGGCACGTTTAGGATAAGCGGTAGCTATTCGTCCGTTCTATCTTTGTATTCGTGAGCGGTGTGCAACACTATATATGTACCTAGACAGGTATTGCAGTACACTATAGGTATAACTACTACAAAATATTAACATCGGTGAAAAACTAGAATATGTACGTCGTTGAGGTCTCACGATAGCTGCAGGACACGTGAACGTTCAACATGAAGTAGTTAGAGGGTCTTTAAACGCGACTTAAGGAGCAATCTAGACCTAAAGGGTAAGGAATTACTACAGGTTCTGCCCCTGATGACTGCGCTGAGTTACGTTGAGATGGCGTGCTACAATACAGTTAGGTAATGGGCGGATCATTCATAGCCTCCACCCCGCTGCGATGCTAGCGCGAAAGCCGTAGCGAATTACTTGTCCTAATTCCGACCCCACCTGCCTACTACAGACAAGCTGGCAACTCTGCTGCTCTTGTTAAACCTGCTAAAGACGTGCAAATATGCATAACGGCGCGCGCGGTGACGGATCTGATAATAAAGACGATACGAAGAAGGTACATTCGTACACGTAATATTTACTCGAGAAAAGATGGGGACGTTATTAGGTGCATTAGGTGCATTTAGGTACCTACATGTAGCGTAAACTGGCTGTACTTTTTATTTTTATGCTTATTTATCGTGGATTGTGATGTGGCAGTTGCGGTATCGACGAATCAATCCTACATACGATGTACATGTAAGTATTCGTACATGTCTATGTTTGTACCTACGATAGGTCAATTACGGAATACATTACATCCTACATACGTCGCATATACTTCATATACTTACTTCATCCAAACACGAATCGCAACGGTTGGGGTTTATTTACCGACTCGGGAGTTGTTCCCAAGGTCGTCGAGACCTTCCGGTCATTTTTATATATTTAACTTCAAAATCCGATTTTTGTCTTATTTGTCATTCCTCTTCACTGTAACATTCAAACCTGGGTCCCTGACCTCCCGTCTTATTTTTTTTTATCTCCCCTCACTATCCGCCACGCTGGCCTTCCCTCAGCACCACCAAAGATGGCACTTTTCGTAGACCTCGACGAGGAGGCCGAGCCGCCGCAGACACAATATTACGGCTTAAAGCCCGAGTGGAACGGCGAGCGCCTCAAGCAGCAGCTATCAAATGGACCGAACGGGCTACATGGAGGAGAGAGCCAAGAGACTACGATAGATCGAGAACCAGAGAACCTCAATGAGCATAATGGGATGGCGGAGGCTCTCGGATGTTATCCGTAGGCAGACGCAACCTCACTTATGGCATTTCTATTAGCAGAACCTCCCCTTGGCTGTCATACTCCTCGTGTGAAGCCGGGGGAGATAAGGCTAACTCGACCACCAGTATCGTTATGGCGATTGCGTCGTCTATCGACCTGAACACGCTCGACAACCTATCTCGTACCTGTCGTCAGGTCCACCGGGCCCTTCTGCAGTATCGAAGCACCCTTCTTGCGCATACCCTACATTGCGTCAACGAAGATGTACCCGTCGATCCCGAAGAGACTTTCCGTTACCGTGCCCGAGCAGGGAATTGGTATTATATGGAAGACGGTCGGACCGGGGACTATAATGGTAAAAGTGGGAATTGCGCGAGAGATATGGTAGCCGAATGCAGACGATGCGCAACGGCTGTATGCCGGGTAAGCAGTTTACCGCAAAATGAACCATTCTTGCAGTGCATCTAACGAGACACGTGCTAGAACTGCGCTATCAAGCCGCCGGCTCCCGTTGTGCTTCGCGATAGGCATCGCCGACTGTGCTTCCCATGCAGCAAGGCTCCGCTCGGAAGCCTTGTCAAACCGTCGTTATCACCAGACACTCTCGTAGACGCGGAGGAAATGCAGCAAGCAATCTGCACCTGTGACACGAAGGGAGTTTGGCTCTGCCAACCTTGTGGGAGGAGTATTCGTGGAGCAGACCACGACTATAAGTCGTACGCGTCTCCTGATCGTCTGATCACCTCCTTTTTTCGTCTAAGCTAACCGGATGCAGTATCTGGAAATGGCGTAACCAATACGGCGAGGTGCTCGGGGGCCTCGGCACCGGTATCGGCGAAGGTGACCGGGGGGTGATTTGCGGCCGAGAGGCGGCGTGCTGCGGCTCTAAGGAGCGGGAACAGGAAACCGACTGTGATGCTGCGGACGCCCGGGAGCAGGATGAGAATAACGGCACCCTGTCGCCCTGGACTACGCCGTCGCCGGCATCCTCTGTCTCCGGGTCGCCGCCGTCCGAACGCCGGACGCCGAGCCCGCAGCTAAGGCCCGGATACGCCCGTCACGAAATTGAGGGCATCGGCGGCGTAGTCAAGACGAAGCTCGTGCGGATCGTACGCGTTGGCGCGTGCGTCCCCGAGTGGGAAGATGAAAAGAACAAGGGCGAGATCCTAGGCCGAGAGGTCTCGGGACGCAGTCGTAGCTGGTGCGGCTGGTGCTGGAGAGTGATTCCGGGGAAGAAGGACTGGGAGATGGCAAAGGCTCATAGCACGAACGCCAGTACGAACGGGAAGAAATAAGGTTCTTCCCCCGCCAACGCTAGGTACCTGGGTATTTAGCAAGAACGGTGGTATATACCTAGAGCATGTTGCATCTTGCATAATCTGGGGTTAAATGAGCTACGTAAATGGGAAGTATTAAAAGGGTTCCTCAGGCGTAGTTAGCATGTCGAGGGATATGAACGGAATAATTGAAGCTTATTGATGAATGCTCTAAATATGGTATGGGACAACGTCTTATATAGTATAAATAAGATTTATGTGCAAAAGAGAAGATAGCTCTCGGATATAAGCTATCGGTTCTTATTGGGTGTCTGTGAGATGCGTCAAATTTAAGTTTGATGGTGACATATCCTACATTGGCTCGTTGGTGATGTACAACTTTATTGTTCTTTGGGGTCTGGTGATACATGTAGGTCTACTTCCCAGTCTACGTAAGAGCTGTGATCTGATCTTCGTATCCATCTGGTTTCACTTGCTAGACGTTTGCCTCGTCCCCAATACACTCTTACTATATACATAAGGTACGTATAGATACAAGTCACCTCACTTGGGACCGATGGTATATAGCAGATTTCCTAACCAGATCCTGGTCTCTATCTCATCCTAGCAGGCAAGAATTGGCCACCCTTTCCGTTCCGTTCCATTCCGCTTCTCATAGAGGATAGAAAGCCAAGATACCCCGCCAATCCTCCTCGTATTACGGCAGGTTGAGGCAGCTGGGTACTAGGGAGGGATATGCACAGGCGAATAGGTAGACGCATAGATGGCTTAGAACGCCTATAACAGACCCTTGTGCAGCAAGACCCTGCGCTTCTTCCGCTCCTCGCGAGCACCCGTGCGAATGGCACCCCAGCGCTCCTTAACAGCGTTCAGGCGCGCGCGTTCCCGCTCGCGATGCTCGGTCGGCGCGCTGCAGCACATCATGACGAAATACGGGGCGCAGCCATAGCGCTCCGCTAGCTTCAGCACGCTCCAGCGCTCCGGGTCCGTGGCCCGCAGCTCCCGCATCTCTTCCACCTGCTCCCGCGTCACGTTGTACTTGCGCTCGGGGGCCTTGAGCTCCGGGGGGAGGACCGACTTCGAAGAGGACACGTCGGTGGAGGTGCGGATGAGCTGGGCTAGATTGGCTTTCCGCCGGGGGTCGCTCGGAGGCAGGAATTTGAAGGGCGTGTGGTAGACGGAGGGCGTGGAGGACGGCGGGTTGTAGATTACCTGCGTGGATTCGCCGAAGGAGGAGGAGGAGGTGGGGAAGAAAGAGGGGTGAGGGGCGATTTTCAAGGCGCGCTTTGTGCGGGATGTTGAAGATTGGTGTCGTCGCGGTATAGAGGCTATTGTTACTGCTGCTGCTGCTCTCGTACTCGTCGAGGTAGATGTGCTGATGGAGCGCAGCAGAGGCTGCACGAGGGACCGGGCCTCCATTCTGGTTTGTGGGGGATGCTGAAGACAGACTTTGAAGTGAGGATAAAGAAGGACGTTACTAGGCCTGAGAGAGGGAAGACTGCTCAATTAAGGGAATGCTGTCTCGTTCCCTCTCCTCCGGGAGTGGCCCTCGAATTCTTCTATCGATTTAGTCGATAACTTCTGCAGGCAAAGTGCAAGTGAAATTTTGTCGGAGGATCCCGCGGGCCGAGTGGGATAGAGTCAGTCATGTGACATTTTGCTAGAGAGGTGCTAGGAGGTATGTATGTATTGTACCTATTACGGATGACCCTTTCAAAAGTTTTGTCCATAGGGCGCCCTTGTCAAGCCTGACATGCACGGACCATGGCTGGTTAACAGCTGGCGACTTAAAAATAGATGTATATATATAAAATTGTTTTATATTTCGAATTATAGCCTAACGAAGAATTAAAATAAAAAATAAAAAAAAGTACTATATAATTCCTTATTCAATTTTCTATTTAACTATAATTCTTGATAATTATACTACTATATTGAAAAAAGATATTGCTTTTGAAAAGGATAGGGTATAGTAAGATACGTGCCTCAAATAGGTGAGCAGCTGTCGCCGAGCATGGCCAGTGCGTATCGGGCCTGGCAAGGGTCTCCCTATGGACAGAACTTTTGAAAGGGTCATCCGTACCTAAGGCAATTTTGGTTGCTGTTAATACAGGCACTAGTCCGTGTGTTGAGTCAAGTTATGCAGGTACGTAAATATTTATGCACTTATCTAACCTTCACGCGGGACAGATTTCTCTTTCAAACCCCGACAATTCAACCCTCTAATCAATTAAACCCACTCCTTTGGGCCAATCGACACGGCAACCCCTCATGATAAGTGACGTACCTACCTAAGGTACGAGTTCGAGGTTTCATGTGCCAGACGGCCCAGGCCTTAGTACCTATCTCTAGATTCATCCAATCGATTCAGCCTACATGCTTGATTGGTAGGTACCCTCAACGGTAGGTAATGCCCTTGTCCCCACGACCTACGAGAGACAGTAAAAGACTGAGATTGGGACGAAAATAACTATCATTGCGTATCAATCCCTAAGGGGGGTTTTTGTCCTACTTGGGCGTTACAAGACATGGCGTCGATGGTATGGCTGGTACTACGTACCTACCTACTCTAAACCACCCAGGACACATAGATGATATTTCCCGATCTGGATTCAGGACGACGGACGTGGTGGTATGTTCTACAGGAATTGTTTCCAGGTTAGAGAATTGGTCGCCAGTGGCGTGCTGCAAGTCGTAGGCAGGCTGTGTCAGCATTGTGGTTGTTGGGGCCATGGCAGCATGGTCGTCTCAACTAGTCCTTTCGCCTATTTTCAGCTCGTGGGATTGCATTGATTTTAATGCGACAAGCTTGCGGGAGTGTAAAAAAGGTCCAATAGATGGCCTTTGATGTCCCTCCTTCGAGACTTGTCCTGGTTCATCACCAGTTTCGTCGAGAGGGGGTTTACTATCGGTCATGACCGTGATCGTTACATAAATAATAACATTGAATATATGTACCTGGAGTAAGAACCTTAACAAGGTTGGGAAATCGGGCTTGGAAGAAACGATCGAAAGTCGTGGTCGTGCCTCTCTGATGGGGGGGCATTCCTTCGCCCTGGCCTTGTTCGCGTCCTTGACGATCATTGGATTCTGTCACCGCGAGTGACGTCGCCTGTTGCGGGCCCCCCTTTTTTAGAACTTGATGAGCAGAATAGCTATGCCCAATATCCCCTCGTGTTTCTGAAATCAACTATGTTTACGTGATACCTACTGTATCACACCCAAGTTTCCAGTATCGAAGCAAGAAATTTCTTCTTGTCATCATCTCTCTTATCTATTAGCTGTATCTATTGATCTTATGTCTGACAGTACATACACAAACGCGCGCACTTACGAACTTCTTTTGAGAACGCCAAGTGGGCTTGCAGCATATCAGCGCAAAGCTTGCTTGTGAGGAGAGAGGAGAAGAAAAAAAAAAAAAAAAAGCAAGCTGAAGCAAGCAAGCATTAATTATTTGATCGCTTCTATATGTGAACCTTGATCGTGACGAGTAAAAAAAGAACCAAAAATCCTGCATAGGTCAAGTTCTATTATTAATTGACATCCCACCTTTACATAGCACCTCATTCTTTATTTTTCTTCTTTTCTTCTGATTCTTTTCCTTCTTCGCATATCCCCTTGCCCTCCCGCCTCAAGGCTGATATTTTCGGGCTCAATTAATGACCGGCGACCCGTCCCATGATCCTGGATGACTGTACCTAAATAGTTGACCAGCATACCTACCTAAATCTACTCAAGGCACGCCAGGCACTTACACAAAACCTATCCCTTCTCTATCGTCATCATCTTCACTATTCTAGAAAGACACGGTTACTAAAGTCTAAGGCTACCTATTAGCCACGATCCATCAGCGTCATTAATCCACACAAGCAAATTGCTGATCGTCGCTGCCTGTCACCTGCTTCTTCCTCTCCCTGGTCTCTCTGGTCTTCCCGGTTTAGTCTTGTTACGTATTAGGACAAGTCTATAAGAAGCGATCGTCAACAGGGTCTCTTCCAAGGCTTCCTACCCCAAACTGCACACTTGCATCCTCTTGCATCGTGCTGTACCAGATTTTCACCCTTCCACTTATATCTACATCTGCAACCGCATCCGCACAGTTGCAGCCGTACCAACAACACCTACACATCAGGAACGAGCTATAGGGCAGGCAGACGCAAGACATTCTCCTACCATATTACATATTATAGTGAGAAGTAGGAAAGAAAAACTAAATATTCGCCTGGTCGAACTTGGTCAATTTCCACTTACTCGCAGGTGCACCAACGGAGGGTAAGTGGCAGTCTACTTAAATATATATTAAAATGCCCCGATAATTTATTATGCGCGAGAAGAACAGATTGGGGTTACTCTTCTCTCACTCTCTCTCTCTCTACTCGAGTCATAGGGCCTCCTCATCGATTTTGCCAAACACCAGGCTTTCGCCCTTTGCGGTAACAGTAACAGTAACAGCAACAACAAACATTTGCACTATTTCGACTACAAGACGGGGATTCCTATTTGGCATATACGCTCCGTCGCCGTTGGTTCCGTTATTTTATTTTTTGGTCCCGTGCTAACGGTTGTCTTGGCATCTTCCAGAAATATCACTCATTGAGGGTTACCCGTTAATCACCCCATTCCAAATCGCGGCACCGATCCACCATGAGTCTTGCACCGGCAGTTTCTATAAAACCCAACAGGGAAAAGGATTTAACTCCAGATTTGAGAGAAAAGAACCGTAACACTAAAGGTGATTCAACTTCGACTATCACGGACAACAACGAGAAGGAGATGGAAAGTGATTCAACTAAAACCGATCCGAAGTCGAAGAAGCGAAGTTTATTTGGATTTGGGAAGAAGAAGGGCGACTCTAAACCTGGTGCTAAACCTTCCCCTCAGTCCGTTTCGGGACTACCGAGTTCGCCATCTACGAAGGATGTGCCTCATACATCAACGAAACGTTCGGTGACTAGTTCGCCAATTCCAGCTGGAAGCCCCAATATGACGCCGTCCTCGCCTAGCCGGGGATTATATTCGTCGTCTCCACGATTAAGTTCTCCTGCAGGCTCTCAAATCTTCGAGCGAGATGTTCAAGAAAGTACCAGCGTTATACCTAATTCGCCGGCTATCCCGTCCCATATCCAGACTGAAAACTACATCCCACCTGTCCTCGACGCATCCTCCGAAGCTATTACCGATGACCGCCTCAACCCCGACTCCGTCGAGATCGTAACCCATAACGCGCACCAACCTGCCAGTGTAACGGTGACTGGTGCTTCCCAATCTGAAACCGCGTCTAGTTCATGGGCTGAGGATCTTGCTGCTTTCTCCGACAAGGAAGAGGCTGCCTCGAACTACGGATCACTCGACTCGGCTGATGTTAGGCGTCTGAGCTTCATTTCATTTGCGGATGTGGTCCAAGCAGAGCAGGTACCTCCGAATAGCAGTCGAGATTCTATGCATCTTGCTGGTTTGACTTCTATTGGATCAAGAGGAGTCAACCGTTCTCCCTCCCCGATAAGATCACCTGTCTCCTCGCAGGGACCAGAGACCTCGCCACCGAACAGCATATCGGGATCTATCAAGGGGCTAAGCATGTCACCTGTCCGGAAACCTCTTGGAAGCCCTACCTCTGTGGAGCACAGCCTTTCAGTGAACGGAGATCTCAACATAGAGACCATGTCGCAAGCGCTGAGACGTACTGGTAGCACCGACCTTAGCATTGCTCGGAGTCTCCCCGTCAGCCCGATTGAAGGCCCTTCTCGCTAGATGGGTAAGGGAACAACACATCTACACACACCTACCTATCTCTCCTAACTGGAAGATAGCACATTATGAGACTTCGATATATTTAAAAAGCCGCGCCTCTTCTCGGCCGACTTCAATTTTTGGACGCGTTTACTTATACCTCGATTTTGTTTGTTTTTGGAGCTGCAACTCATGGATACCGTTTGATACTTTTTGGGACGACAGAGAAGGGGGAGGCAGAGTTTGGGCAAATGGAGTTGGCAGATATGTGGTTTAGGGCAAGGACGCGTTATCTTACTTTCTTACGAGCCGCATAGGAGAAGGTGATACCATCCTCGATAAGTCGTTTCTCGTTACTACGCCAGCAGAGCTCGCTAGGTTTTTTGGGGAGGGGGCAGGGCGGGGCGGTGATGTGAATAGGTAGTCATGGATTATTGATTCCGGGTAGATGAGGGAGCTGACAGTAGGGGGTTGTTCGCCTTTGATATCCCGAGTTATGTTCCCCTTATTGAGCATTTCGCAAAGGCAGCAAGAGATGGGACGGAATTGTACATAGTAGAATACCTGCTCCGGATTGTTTTATGCAACCCTTGTCATCAAACCAACTTTACCGCTGCTTTAGTATTCTCGAGATGATTTTGTCATGTCGTACCAGCTCTATCTACGCGCATAGGACCTTACAGGCTGTGGCGTCCTTGCATGATTTTTGTCGGTCAGAAGCTCGGAAGCTCAGCCATCGAGTCACAGAGTATATATATAGAACTAGGTACCCAATCACACATGTGTAAGGTAGGTATACTGCCGAGACTAGGGAGACTGGATAATTGGGCGGATATAACAACGTACAATACAGCTGCAAGACCCTGAAAATCCATCTTATATGCCGCTTTTTAGCACATTTTAGTACATAGTAATGCCTATCTCATCAATAGTAATCTTACGAAGTGAAGCTGAGGGCGTCCACGTCCCGTACTGCTGGGTCGGAGAGACTACCCCTTTACGGCTATCTGTTTACCCGCGTATTCTATCCTGTGGGTAGGGCTGATTCGCGGGATACGTGTGCGAACCGCAGCGAGCTGAGCTGTCAAAATACGTCACGGGCAGGGCGCATTTGTACGAGATACTACCTAGTTTGGTTGTCGAATAGGATCCCGTCTACATCACCTGTCAGGTCTTATTGTACACATGTATGCATATATTAATGTAGTATAGGTATTACCTAGGGCTGGTTCTGGGACTGCCGTATGAGGTATGTAAGCTGCCGGCAAGGCTTTCTCGCTCGTTTGAGCGCTTTACAATCGTGTGGGGATCGTTTGCAGAAGCCGAGAAGCCCCGTCTCGTAATCAACGTAAACTTGTTTCATGACTTTTGTTCCCTGCTGGGTAGAAGGATATGAAGAACATAAATCGAACGTTTCAAGAACGGGCCATCCCCGGATCTTCTGATCCTCCCAGCCCCAATTTTTCTTTTCTATATTGTTGTTGTTATTGTTGTTGTTCTTCTTCTTCGCTACCGCTGCTTTGAGCTGGACGGCAGCTCAGTGGTTGCCTGGGTACTTAGCCAATTACGTATTCCTAGCTTTGCTGAGTCGGGCGAAGCCAAGAATAAAGAGACATGGGATAGCGGGAGAGATGACCTCTGTTTGGTTGACTTGGCAAACGTATAGGTAAGGTACATGCCTCAACATATGTAGGTACACATGTCTGCAATTCGAATTTCTCGTAAGACCTGAGCGATGCTCGATTTTCGTCTCTTTCGAGAATATGCGGAATCGAAAGACGCCACGAGGGAATCAACAGCAACACATGCTACATTAGACAATGATCCTTGGAACATGCTTGTGCATATTATCTGATTATATACATACATACGTAACGTACCTCAGGTAGGTATGTAATTAGAAATATGTAGCTTCGGCTGATCACTGCGGAACGGACCATTTCAACTTTATTCTGGTAGGGTCCAGGTAGTAATTATTGAGAGTGGATTTCGTATTTCCCTGACCGATTCGTAGCTTTCCGCCCAGACTTTCACCGATATGTTCGTCACAATCGTTCGAGAATATTCAGAGGAATTTCCATTTTGGTGATAAACCAATTCCCGCGAATCCCTCTCCTAGGATTAAATGTCGGATGTCGACTTATATTATTGAGTAAATTGTATGCATGAGATATGTAACCCACTTATACGCAAATGTTCCTGAAAATTTGCCCAAGCTGCCAAGTCACCCAGACACGGCCAATTGGGAATTCGTCGTACGTACATGACAAGCCCTGATATGGAATTGTATATGCATGTGTGTGCATTTGGGTTTCATGGAACCAACGCAAGCGATCCGGGAATCTGGATAGGGCGACACAAGACGAGCAGGCTACGAACGCCTCAGGGCGCAAAAGAGAATTCGGTGGCATTCAGTCACACCCCAAACGCGAGGCTTCGGCTCCGTGATAGGCTTTGCCGAGATGAGCAACGAGAAACATGCATTTGCATGCATTTCTTCTCAAATTTGACCTTGGAAGATTTGTAGTTAACTCATATCGACGGCATGTTGTGTAGCATTGTTTGTAACCAATACTATGGTAAACCTTGTTCACTGACTAAGATGTTAAGATGTTCTTCTCAAGCGAGATGGATTTCGTGATGGATTCGTGGCCATTCGGAACCCAGCCGAGAATCGAGATTTAGGACAAGAAGGTTCAATAATTGGAATGTCCTTCAACACTATTCGTTCAGAGCCGTCGACCCCCCACACTCAGATGCCGTAGGAAGATGAGAGAATAAGAAGTAAGAAGTAAGAAGAATTGAAGCATGTAAGCGAACGGGATGATGGACTAGTGGTCAACAGAGAAGCTTCGCCTACTCTTTGCAGGCGTCTTGCTTATCAAATTGATTTTCAGGACATTTTAGTCCGGAACTCCGTGTTACCTATTACGATTGCCCTGTTAGCAACGGCCAGGCCATGCTAGTATGTATACTAATTCAAGGACTGGCCCCCTTGATTCCATGTCCCTATCAACACCGAAAATAATCGGTAGGACAACCGGGTTACAGATTAGGTGTGAAGGTTCGAACGGGGGGTCGGCTGGTCGGTTAGACATGTCCCGTTTACCCATGTACAATATTAGTCCGTCCCATGTTGCTTCGTTGGCGTAATGTTTAGCTTTATGGACCCTGTCTTAATCGATAGTAACAAGTCATAATTGAGTGAAGATTTAAATCTCGACTTTAAAATAGCGTAGTTAATAGGTGTTAGAGCTAAAAAACCAGGTCAATTAATAAGACCAATTATAGCGGCCGTTACTGGGTTTGACAGGGGGATAACTAGGGCGACTAGGCGTAACTAGGGTCCTGGTAAGCGCAATTAACTTTAACCTAGCTGTATGTACTCTAGCCGTCAGGCCGTCTCTAGCTGTCTACTATGTAAGGTAACAGCGGTAAATGGCAGTAACCTTATGTAGAAGCCTTTTCCTTCCTACCATCTTACAGGCATCCCTAGCACCAAATATCAGGCGAAGGAAGGAGCATGGAAGCTGGAATTAACTTTTCCATCTCAGTACAGTATCTGCTATGGCCTCTTCTTTTTGCTCAAATACTAACAAATGGGATCCTCTTCAGCCCCATTTATTTATTTTTTCTATATCTCCGTCCTGCTGAGGACCAGCAAGTGATCGATGCGCAACGCACCTAACGAGCCTTTCGCCCGCAGTTTGCATCCTGAGACAATCATTTTTACGTGGTTTAATTAGAGCTATTCCATAATCGCAATACCTCTTCCTTATTTGTCGTCGCACCCTCTATCCCCACCAAATTACCTGGCCGGTAGCTTGCCGTCTCGACCCCCTCTCGACCCTGAACCTAGACCGGGGATCCAATCGTCGCGCCCCAATGGTTCAAGACAAGCAGTGGTCCTGCAGATAATACTCCGACCTTCGCTGTGCGAATCCAGAAGCTCCAGAACCCATAGAATCCATAGAACCCCAAAGCCGGCCTGCTCTTCCTGCATAGCCTTGGCCACCTAACGAGCGAGTAGAACAGCACACTGCACACTCTGCTGTGTCCTCCTGACCGTTCTCTAATGCGAGCCGAGCCCGGCAGACGGTCAGCTTTCAACCACTCGACTTCTCGCCCACACCTCAATTAGCAAATTCTGAAAGCTTACCGGTTGCTGTAATCCCTGACGGTCAATGCTCCACGTGCCGTACAGAGGTTACAGAGGTACAATACCACTGGACGGAAAGTCTGAAAATAGGCACACGATATTATGATAATATCTGCAGGAAAACATTCATCTAGCGAATCTGTTGCAAAATCCACGTCACGGATACTCGACTCGAATTTGCGTAATTTGCCTTACCATGCGCCGATCCACCTGCCGACCTAGATAGCTTTTCGAAGACCACATTGCCCATCTAGAATGTCCATCCCCCGATGGCAGCTTGTAAACGAAGTATCATCCGTTACCGATTTATGACAGACGGCTTTTATATGCAAATCAGGCTCGCGTCATTCCGCTGTTGAAAGAGGTGGATGGCTGCGACAATCACACACGTAACTGCAAGGCACGACATTAATCCTTTCCACCCGCGCGGCACCCGTCCGGCGTTCAATGCTGCAATCTCTCAATCTTTATGCCTTCGAAACAACACATTCGCGGTATCTCTCCACCGCCAGAGACAGGAGGAGATACCCAAAGCGGTCATCACATCGACAACCTTTCGGATTGGGCGCTAGCCACCGTGGGAGATACGTTACCACCAAGTGCGGAATGGGGTGCCAGTAGTAATGCGCGTACGAGTTTAGAATCCAATATCAACATGCAGGACAATAGTATCCGGACGGCTACGCCTGAGCTATGCGAGAATGACGAGGCTGCGGACACGAGCAGCATTGCACGGACGACCCAGGAATCTGGTAGCGCTTCTCCCAGATCTATACCCGGCGGAGAAAGGAGAAGACAGGGTGTTGTGTTCAACGAAGCATGTGGCGAGTCTGTAGATAGTACCTCATCTAGTCTACCGTCGCAAAACCAAAAGGCAGCCCTCAGACCACGCACGCACACTATGGATGGTGCGGTAGCACTGCGACAGCAAACCGCATCTTCTTCCACAACTGATAGCAGGCATCGACCAGGATCTTTCTCGTCATCGGGATCTCAAGCAGTTGTAGATATCGAAGTTCGTCCCCCACCGACCGTGCTTGAGTCAGTTGGCTATCCGTCAGTAGCGCCAACTAGAGCCCCGGATTTAAAAATCACCCTATCATCAAGCAAGGAGAAAAAGTCTTCTAACCGGCGCCTAACTAAACGCGGCTCTTCCCGTCCTACTTCTCCTCTAGTATCACCGCCACCCTCTGTTGATTCGCTATCACTCCCGATCCCTACGAACGATGCGAATAGAATTCTCTTGCTGATGAAAACTTTGGCCGGTCGCATGAGAGGTGAAATCGAGTATCAGGCCGAGACAAACGGCCCTTGGTACGGTGGAACGGCTTGGATTGACGAAGATAGAGGCAGTTTATATTTTGATTCGGGTCAGAACGGACAGTTTCCTATTCCTTTAGTTCCTGACCTTCGAGGGTGCAGGGTTGTGCCCGTTGACGGTCTAGATGACAAAGGAAAGAGCCTGGAAATTTTAAACAATAAAATGGGCGTCGAACTTTTCTTACGGCCTCTTCCACCCGCGGAATTCGACTTGTGGCTCGCCAGTCTACTCTGTTGGCAACAGCTTCGCCCCACCACAGTGAAATTCGCTAACGGTAGAAGCGCCAGTTCACCCGGGTCCGTCCGACCGGATATGAGGAGGCGAGGATCTTTAGCCGTAGGTAGCTCGTCTTCAAAAGACGCGGCTATCATTAAGGTTGGCAAGGTGATGCTGTGGGATAAAGGCACCGCAACGTCACCGCGTGCAATCGTGAAACGACCATCTACCCGAGATCTCCGTTCAGGTTCGACGTCGTGGAGGAGAGTGTCTTGCATCCTACAAGATAATGGCGAATTCAAACTTATGACAGAGAATGACGTGGCAGTACTTTCCATCATCGAGCTGCCACAGCTCTCCCGTTGTGCTATACAACAATTGGATAGGTCGGTCTTGGACGAAGAATATTGCATAGCGATCTTCCCGATCTACTCATCTACTCATCTACTTCCAAGCAGCTTTCGATATTCCGACCCGTATATCTTGCTCTAGATTCTAGGGTCCTCTTCGAGGTCTGGTTTGTACTCCTACGAGCCTTTGCTGTACCTGATTTATACGGTCTTGAAGCTTCTACAGAACAGGTGATTGAAATACGAGACTTCGAGAAAGAATTTGAAGGACAGCTATTTCGTTTAGAGAAAACCGTTCAAATTAGAGTCACCGAAGCAAAAATAAGGAAAGCTACGCCGGGTCTAGAGCATCACGACCGCCATTCTAAAGACCGAGATCCTTTAACTGGGAATTACCTTGCCGAGGTAATATTAGATGGCGAAATTCGATCCCGCACGACAACACAGACCGATACGAAGAATCCATTCTGGCGGGAGTTTACCCAGTTTACAGAATTGCCTACAACACTACCATATTTATCTATTATTCTAAAACGCCTTGATGGAAATTTGGAAAGTTTGAGTCATCAACTACAAGCATCTCTAGGTCTTCCTAAGACAGGCAGTTTGACAGAAGTTATATGTGGAGCGGTGGATATACCCTTGGAAAAGTTGGAACGTGCAAAGGATCATGAGCAATGGTTTCAAGTTTATGATGAGAAGCAGGAGTCTATTGGGAGCATGTTTGTCAAAATTAATCATGATGAACTGGTCGTCCTCGGAACGAAAGATTATGAGCCGTTATCTGAACTTCTCCACAAGTTCAGCGTTGGGTTGACAAGCCAAATCGCCCTAGCTATACCATCCTCTATGCGCCGGCTTGCAGAGCTACTCTTGAATATCTACCAGGTATCAGGAAGTACCAGTGAATGGCTCATGGCTCTCGTCGAAGAGGAGATAGACGGAATTGGGAGCCAGAACAATATGAAGAGACTTCGCTTCAGTCGACGACTAAAGTCCACCGATTCTTCGAACTCTGCGGGCGACAGGGACCTACTTGTCCGCGATATGAAAACCCTAGCTGGGGAAGCCAATCTCCTCTTTCGGGGCAACACTCTGCTCACTCAAGCTTTGGAGTTCCATATGCGCCGCCTAGGAAAGGAGTTCTTAGAGGAGATCTTGGCAGACAAGATTTTTGAGATCAATGAGCTGAATCCAGATTGCGAGGTAGATCCGAGCAGAATCCATCACAACGATGAGATGCAACAACACTGGAGTTTGTTGGTACAACTGACGACTGAAGTGTGGGAGTGTATCGCTGATTCCGCAATAAAACTGCCATTTGAGCTCCGACAAATTCTCAAGTATGTCAGAGCTGTCGCGGAAGATCGGTACGGCGACTTTCTTCGCACTGTTACCTACACAAGTGTATCGGGATTCTTGTTTCTTCGTTTTATTTGTCCAGCAATCTTAAATCCCAAGCTTTTCGGGCTCTTACGAGACAATCCACGAAGCCGAGCCCAACGAACACTAACGCTTATAGCGAAAGGACTCCAGGCTCTGGCGAACTTGTCCACGTTCGGCAAGAAAGAGGGCTGGATGGAACCTATGAACAGATTCTTAGGCATTCATAGGCAACCTTTCAAAGATTATATTGACCAAACGTGTTCGATACCTACTGAGCGTAGTATCTTCACCGTCCCCGCCTCGTATTCCACTCCTGTCACAATCCTCGGTCGCCTATCTCCGACATCTCGAGAAGGTTTCCCCTCTCTACCGTACCTTATCGACCACCCCAGGAATTTTGCAGCTCTAGTCAAACTCTGGCTCGAGTCTAGCCACAAATCTACATTTACGGATCCTGCGGATTTCGATGCTGAACTAGCACAATTCCACGTAATATGTTTGGACCTTCAAAGACGCTCTGATGAGTGCCTCGCTAGAGTCGAAGCACTTCGTTCGTCTGAGAACGAATCGGTGGATACGGACGAACTAACTGAGACTTTGGAAAAGACGACTCTTTTGGACGCAGTCAATGTAGCATACGGAAACACAACGCCATGGTTTGAGAATGACTCGTACCGCCCTCCGGGTTCATCCGGAAGCGAGCCGGATGGCAGTGACCGTTCGGATTTCCGGGGCTTTGGGAGAGATAACAGAGTCCTTCGTCACGTGTCTGATAATATAGAGATGTCGACTTCAAATACCATACGGGCGAAGCACGCGAAGAATCCTCGCGGTTTTCTACACAGCCTAATAAGCGGTAAGAAGGACAAGGAAAAAAGGAAGGAGAAGGAAAGAGAGAGGGAAATAGAGAGGGAAAGGGAGAGGGAACTGGCCGGTTCATCGACATCACAGGAGAAGGGTCGAGACAAGGAGGAGAAAAGTAGTAAGGGCATCCTTGGCACCTTCTCAGAATCTTGGCAGAGCGAAGTGAGCTCAAGGCACTAGTTATGCTTTAACTCCGCAAAACGATACCCATATGCCAAATCGTGGGACCGAATGCAAGAGGGGCTGGAACGTTCTCGAACCCGATTAATGAAGCGGCCATCCCCTCTAGGAGCGAGAGGACTTGCCGACGTCTTAGGATTAAGATAAAGCAAGTCAGCCAGGAAGTATCGCCGCGCTACTTCATGGGTGATTTTTTACTAGAGAAATAGATTGCAGGAGCTCCAAAAAGGTGGCTCCGTCACAAAAATCATCTACTTCGCGTGGATTTGTTTGGACTTGGACGTTTTATATCCCCTCGCTCCTCAGGAAAAGAGTTATGTTTCTGCATTTTCAAGCGGGCTTGGGAGGCTTGGTAGAAGAAAAAAAGACTTTCAGGAGATGCTTATTCTTGATCGGGGGTTGGTTTTAGGCCCCTCTTCACTTTGTTGTTTTTATATTACATTACATACCTAGGTTACCTAAGGCGTTGTTTTTACTTTACGTGAGAAGAGAAGCAGAGCATTCGGATGACCGTATATCGCATCATACCATATTATACCATATCATACAATAACTTATCATATCATATCATATTCAGATCATACCGCGCCCGTACGTACTACGTCAGATATGTTGGGGCGGGGAGATGAATTGTTGTAGAACAGGCAGACGACATAAACGAGAGGGAGACGGTCTCTAGAAAAAGGAGGGGAGGGGGTGGTTTATACTTTCAGAAAATTTACGTTGTCTAGTTCACCGGCTAGGACATGGATATACACACACATACATACATACATTCATACATAGAATATATCAAAGATTACTCCAAACATACCTCTTCAGATACCTATACAAATTTTCGATATGTGGTCTACTGGTTTATCACGGGAGTTAACGGATAGAATAAGAACTAGAACACTTCTCAAATATGTGGTTCGAATCGTGATTAGGATAGGTATTTGATAATATGATATTATGGATTCTATCATTCATTCAGGTTTCTAATTCATAAGTACCCTACACTCTCTAGAACCTAACCCTATCTTATGTAGGCGTATCAAGTATGCATTTGCTCCGCCAAGTACATAAGATAGGTGGTGACTAACAGCCGTGCTCCTTTGTCTATGAACATGCAGGCTCCAACGGGCAGAAAGAGATCAGTGTCCAACCTGACACCTGACTAAGTTCCCCTTCTCCTTTATACCTTTTGGGTGAGTAATCATTTTTGGCTCTTCTTTTTGTCCTTTGCTCACTCCTAGCCCCTTGTCCCGCGTTGGGTTAAAAACGATTATCGAGTATTTAATTATCGAAGTGCATCAATTAGGTCTTATCTCGTACGTTATGATCCTCTCATTTTCTCCCTATTCACTGTTTCTTTCGGCGCCTAGCCTGCCTGACCTTCGCGAACGACTCTCCTGATTACCTCCTATCATCTTGAAGGTTAGCTAGCGGTATCACGAGAAGAACTTCTTGTACGCAGCCTTCTCCTTGGCCAAGCGAGCTGCGGCCTGCTTCTTAACCGCCTCGAGTTCCTTAGTGATGGCAGCATCGTTAGGAACTAGTTTCTTGGCCTGCTCTAGGGCTGCGAGGGCTGCGTCCTCGTCCCTTAACTTGACGAGCGCGAGACCTTGGCGGTAGAGCGCCTTGGCACGCTCTGCGTCGGAGACGCCGGAGACGGCGAGGGCAGCTGTAGCGGCACGCTGGGCGTCATCCCAGGCCTCGAGCTTAAGGTTAAGCAGCGCTGAGTTGCAGTTGAGCGTAAAGCGCAGAGCGTCGAGCTTCTGGCGCAGATCCTTCTCGTCGTCTTTAACCTCGGGCTCCTCATTTAAGTACCGCAGACCCTTCTGGTACTTCTCGAGGCCGCCGAGCACATCGCCAGCCTTGAAAGCCTTGTTGCCGAAGTCTTTGCAGTCACTGGCTATCTGGAGCACACGCGACGCAGAGAGTGGCTGGTCGGCCTCGTCTTCAGGGAAGTCCTCGTACTGGTCGCCGTAGGCATCCGGGGCCTTAACGTCGGATATCTGTGCGGCGGCGCCTGAGAGCTCGCCACAGTCCGTGATGATAGCATCCTTCACAGGCTTGTCGTTGTTGGTACGCAGGTTCTCGATCTGCCTTACTATCGACTTTCCCGACTTGACTTCACCGAAGACAACATGCTTCCCATCAAGATGCGGCGTAGGGACGGTCGTAACAAAGAATTGAGAGCCGTTGGTGCCTACAAGGAAGAGCAATTGTAAGTCTGGAATATCTTAAAGTAACGTATATATAGATAAGGGGTTATAATAACTTACCAGGTCCAGCGTTAGCCATGCTAAGCAGGAAAGGACGCTCGTGCTTGAGCTCAAAGTTCTCGTCCTCGAACTTTTCGCCGTAGATGCTCTCGCCGCCGGTTCCGTCGCCAGCAGTAAAGTCACCACCCTGGATCATGAATTGCTTAATGACACGATGGAACGTGCTACCCTTGTAGTGAAGGGGTTTGCCCGACTTTCCGAGCCCCTTCTCACCCGTGCATAGCGCGCGGAAGTTCTCGGCGGTTTTGGGCACGACATCGTCGTATAGCTCGAAGGTGATACGACCGGCAGGTTTGGTGCCGATGGTGATGTCGAAGAAGACGTAGCTACGCTTCTTGGGTTGTTCTGAGGTCGCCATATTTGTGCTTGTGGGCTTGTGTAATCGGATTGGATCTGTGTCGTTGACAGCGGTAAGGTTGTAAGTGGGAGAATGTGATACCAAATATCGAGATGGTCCGAGAATTTAGGAAGAGATGAAGACCGGAGAGAACGTGATTGCCTGAAAGTTTGCTGAACGCTGAATGCTGAGTAGGAAAATAAGATTGGGGAAAGAGCACAAATGTAAGATTACTGTACAGGTGTAAAAACTGTTTGCAGCTACAGGAGCAATTGGAATGCAGCGCACTTGCACTTATTATTCCAGCCCGAAGCAACTGGAAGGTGAAGCTTTTCGTGCAGTAGAAGCTTCTAGGTGAACTCCAATCGCGGGGCTAGGTGGGGTTCCCATCATTCCATAGAGGGGCCATAGACTTATAAACACATTCGTGTAACGCGTATATGTAAGCTTTCTGGCCAATAACATCAGAGCTACTCACTTAATAGGGCTAGGGGATAAAGTCTAGTGTACCTATCTCAGTTAACCAACCTAGCTCAGTTTAACTAGATTCAACAACCTCTTTGTTTACTTAAGGTGTCTAGGGAGTTGATAAATACACTAACAAATATATAATCTAATCGTGAATCAAAGTGTGAGTTCAAAGAGGTATAAATATTTATTTATTAGCTACCTACGTAATGTTTTACAGTCTTACTCTTATGGCTCCCTTATTCGGGAATGTTAGAACGCAAGAATGCCTCCGGATTACAAGCCGTTAGGGCCTAGCATAATAAAATAGGCACATCTAAGGTGGCTACACCCGAGGGCATCTGTAGCAAGTTTAATCAAGAGATAGGTCATCGGGGTGGCTAATAGAAGATGCAGCACCAGCCTCAATGCTGTCCACGACACAATTGGAGCATTGTCGGTGGCAACATCGGCGACAGTACCATTCATCAACGCCGTTCTTATAGGATTCTTGGCAGCAAGTCCAGGGTCCAAGAACGTCGCCAGGAGGGCCAAAGGGCTGAGGAGTGTCACCAAAGATAGGAGTAACAATAGCAAGCTCGCCTTCGCGAGGCTGCTGGCTAGATTGAGTAGTAAGAGGCATTTTCGGAATGAATGTAGCTTTTGAAGTGAAAAATATTTGCGAATGTGTGGTGTTTTTACCGGAGAGTAGGTGTTAATGAGCGTTGGTCAAGAATAATGTTGAATGAGCTTTGATGGCTTAGAGAGAATGTAGAAATTTCTTATAGGATATCGGTACGTCAGGTAGTTTATATAGTTTCCCCTGGCCGTTCAAACAAGCGTGTTATAAGGTATCAATAGCTGTTAGACTGGTGTAAGCAAACAGTATGTCATGGCAGCATACGATAACAACAATAAAATACCCTGTAGTACAACAAATTGTGCTAATTGGAAAGTTTTGCTGGCGAAATTTTCCAATTAAATACGTTGGAAACCAAAGCCGATGGTTTCGGTTTTAGATTCCGAGTATAGCGCAAAGTAAAATATTGAGGCTATCGTGAGATTGGGGGTACGTATTTTAACTGTACTTCCGATTAACCGTATTTGGATATCCCGGCTAAACTCCAACCAATAGGGTAAATGTAAATTCGTAAGGTTTTACTAGCGTGGAAATCCGATCACCTTATATATAAACCGAATTCAACTTAGGAAAGTTTTGACATTAATTTTTATTGGGAAATGCGAATTAAAAAAACAAAACTTTCCAACAAAACTTTCCAATAATGCTTACCTTATAATAGCAACTTCAGACTTCCAGATGCCTTACTTAAATTTCAAAAGGGGATACCAATGTCAGGGTTTTAGATGAGACATCTAGGACAAAGAACATGTATGTATATACGAGCCATGGGCTCGCCAGATAGGTTAGAGTTCCTCGCGGAACAACGAAGTTGTTTCCATATCGTTTGGTTCGACCTCGTGACAGCCAACAAATCGGTATACGATGTTTTCCCCTTAGTTTTTTCATTATAACTACCTAGAACTTAGGTTAAGTGAGGTGGCTTGCGTTGATCGTTAGCTAATACTTATGTATTAGAGTACCTAGCTTTACGAAGTGCTTTTCTATTGAATTATATTTCGTATGCGTTGGGTAAAAACTTAACATATATAGTATTGTATGTGAAGTTGCATGGTTTATTCATCCTTATCTTTAAGCTAAGTATCAATTTGTGTCCTATAGTTAGAAGATTCTTTATCCCAACACAAATTCATTCTTTGTTCTCCAACCTCTTAGAAGCGTGTATCTAAAAGATGGCCGGTGATGGGATTTATACAACTTTAAGTAGCAATGCGGAGACTCAAGTCGGTCTTGTTCGAGCTGCTGATATATTGGTCCTTTATATCAAAAATGCGTTACGGATAGCGCCACCTATATGTGGGACAGCTTAACGGGCAACTGTCTTTACAAAAGTGACAACCTGCTTATGATTACCAGTAATGTCCTTGGTATAGTGCTAACGGATACAATAGAAGTTACAATCTGGCTCGGTGGCGCGGAGAACACCTTTAGGAACTCCGGGATTACGAATTACCTATGCAATAGGAGTGTCACTTTGATCTTCTGATTGGATGTTAGATCTATCCATACATATATGCATACCTTGGAGGTAGTTTGATCAGATACATTGAGGTATTTTTTCTCCGAATTTATCCAATTCTATCCTGTACTTAACCCATGAAGAAAAGATTGCTTGCTGCGGTACAAAAGATAGCCAACCAAACTCCTAGCAGACCCATCCCCATGAACAGTTCATGTCTCCTTAAATGCGGTGTTGTTAGTATTCGGGTACTTAGGCCTTCTTGGGGCCCTTTACCCTCCACATGAGTATCGTTCCAACCTTCCAGGTATCAACCTCCTTGTACGCCGATCGAAGCACACTCTCGATGTCCTCCGCCTTGTCATCCCAGTTATTGAACACGCCGACCCAGTTGTAGAGGCTGAGATAGTTCCGAGAAAACCAGCCGGTAGTGTGTTTCTCCCCCAGCACGGTACATCCTATGAACACGCCGTCATCCGCAAGAACTTCTTTGTAGGTGGCAAGTGCTTGGAACTTGCGCGCACCCCCGGGTACGCAGTGGAATAAGTTGAACATGGATATCGTATCAAACTTCTTGCCCTTTAAGGCAGCTGGTACGGGTGCTGTTATGTCTGCCTCAACAGTGTGAACCGGAACTTGAGGCGCTTCTGCCTGTATAGCTGCCTTGGCCGCCTCCAGACAGTTGGGGTTGAGATCTAACAAGGTAACTTGGCGTTGCGCATTGGCTTGGCGAGTACGTTGTAGGACGGTTGCGGGAAAGTAACCCGTGGCGACACCACAGTCTAGATGGTTTTTGGAGAAGTGTTCGGCAAAGAGGTTGAGTAATACGTCACATGGACAGCCCCAGACGTAAGGGACGTTGAATTCCAGAACTAAGCGCTGGTATAGGTAGTTCAGGATAGACTGCGTGTAGATACCCGAGCCCAAGCCCTTCGAGCTGGTTTCTGTGACCATTGTAGTACTCATTTTTTTGTCTTCTTCTCCGTGTAAGTGTTGAACGGCGGGGTACTTGAAAAACGAAGTCCGTAGATTCTTGAGAAGAAAGCATGTGCGTCTTACCACCTTATATTATGTCGGAGTATCTCTGAGCACCCTGCTGCAGATACAACATCGATATGTAAGCGATTATGACCGTTCCAACCGTTAGGGCCGTACCCGATAATGTCCCCATGAAAAAAGGTACCCAACCGTAGTAGGGTAGACCAATTGGGAGCTTCAGCCGGTCCAGATGCTTACCTCATTCTACTCCTATTTACTCCTACTCGCATGAGGATGCGATTATATCCTCAGCTGCCGAGACAGGGCGTCTGACTAGTAGCATTTCTTTATTAAATTAGGATTTATCTTACGATCCTATCTAATGGTTAGCAACGGAAGTAGTTTAGGGATGCGACGGTCGGGATTTGAGGATGCGTTAGCGGTCCAGTTCCGCCACCACGTCGCCCAATCATGGCTTTCGCCGTATGCGACTCCCTTGTTGTGACCCCACCCTTCGTGTAGTCAGCACTACAAACTCGGCCGCGAAGTTTCGGCCGTGAGATTCTCTGAGCCGGCATTCAGAGATTGAGGAATCGAGTTCTTACTGCAGACTTGATGTGGGGTAGATCCATGTGAAATAACCCTTGAGGCTTACGATAGACCTGTTATTTTTATCAATTGTCAAAAATTTCCAGGTGAAATTGCAAAGCAGCAAAACAATTAATAGATAATGCACCTAGGTAGGTAGGTAATAATTTGAGCGGAAACGCGAGTATAGCCGGACTCCATTGAAGTAAAGGGTCTTTGGGTCTTTAGGTACCTACCTTTTTAGAGTTGAGTAACAAGCCAATCAAATCCAAGTGTCTTACCATATCAGGAAAACTTCGTGTAACACTTGATTTAGTCTCTGACTCTAACTTCTGATTGGCTCTTGTATCATTTTCTATTAACAATATGTGCTTCTCCATAGTATTACTTACATAGCAGAACGGTGTTAAAATAAGTGCCTAACAAAGGGAATACTTTTATAAAAAGTTCTCTCGGAATATATTGAGCAAAACAATCACAAAAAATCATACTAATATGAAATAGGCTCTAAATTTTATTTTAATATAAGTCATAAAGATATTCTCGAGTATTTCGCTGAGTTATGTGGATAAGAGAGTGAGACTCCTGGTATGTTAGTACTTACAGAATCGGCACTTTTTTTTGACGCTGTTCTGCATAGTAAACTCTATCAATTGTAAACTCTGGAGTCAAAATAAATGCCAACTACCTGTGGCTGCTGACAGCTTCAAACCCGTGATATGATATTCTGTAGAAAACTCCAAATACGGTCATGGATCTGCATATACACTGGGTAATGACTTAGGTACAGGTCATGATAATGCAAGTATGTACGAGAGAAGAACTCCATACAGGCGATGGAGTTGATATAAGTGCAGTGTATCTCTGCCTACGAGGACTTAGTACATACTATCTAGGAGGTATTAGTTATAGGGAACTATCATCGATGAGATACAAAGATGGTTGTACTATAGCTAAATTATACACTGGATAGATGCTATTAAAACACGGGGGGCAAGCAGATGATATCGGAATGACGCATTGGATACTATGGCCATGCCTACTTAGATACCTAGCCTAATGTCTTCTAAGTTAATTTGATGGTTGTTTCACACTCCCATTGTACTATCAGGTCTGGGTCTGAATATTGGGGATTCAATATCGTGCTTACAACAGTCTTTCCCTATTCACTTAGAAAACCAGGTAACCCCTAATGGTTACCATTAAACAAACCACCTTGTCAGCTTAGTCGAACTATGCCTTCTCTTGGTCACAACCAGGAGAGCAGC